TAGCGCTCAGGGGTCAAGGGCTTAATCAATTAAGGTTTACGCTCTCACGACTCGGACATGCCAGGCGAGGTTCTTGGTGCGAAGTCGGCGTGAAACAGGACTCAGGAACCACTAAGATCCAGTACCCAGCCCAAGACCAGGAAGTCTAAAACCCTTAACCATATCAAGACCGGTCAGAGGTTCCCTACAGCGACTACTGCAGCAGCAAGATAGCAACGTCTCCAAAGCTCGCAAAACAAAGTCCATGAACAAATACCCCAACATGCCCTCCCTGCTGCTGAAACTACACTACAGAGTTGCGGGTTTCCACGGGGGCCAGGCCATACCGAGCACAACATTCCCAGCCAGAGTACATCTATCAACCCAGGGATCGGCATGGCATGGTGGCGGCAGTGAAGCCACGTGACTTACTTAGAGATCTACATGCACTGTACAACTACAGCTACTTTGAGCTCACTCAGGCTTTCTCACAACGGCACGACTGTACCCACTGGTTCTTCGTAGCGGCACGGACCCACCACGACTTTGCTCAGCTCCGGTGCAGCAGCCCCGTGCTTTCTGCCAGGGATTTCCAGCCCCAAAACATCAGCTCTGCTTCAGTTCATCGTCGTAGTAAGCGACGAAAAATCGCTCCAGTTGGGCATCTTCTGGATCTCACTTCTGTAGAGGCCGGCTTTCAGCCCACAGCGGTTGCTGGACACAATACTCTCAACTGCCGGGAGTCTTCCCGCCGGTTCCTCTGTCTGGCTTGCATCTTTCAACTGGACTCGAAGTTGTCGTCCTTTCCACCCTTGGGGTCGGATCTTCGACACTGTACCGATGAAAGCTTGCCCCGAACTGGCATGTCAGGGCGGTGCTGTCCAGAACTGAATTTTAGCAGGCAGGTCATCGTCCTCCCTACCATGCCCTGGCATCCAAAAGCAGCTGACCTCTTCGCTCCTCTTTTTGAGATACCCAGTCAAGAGGGAATTCCGCCATTTCCAGGCCCCCCCCAGAGCTGCAGTTGACCACATAGGCGTTTCTGGCCAGAGCCGATGGCCATGGCAGTAGGCAGATCGGCGCGGGTTAGTGGTTTGTTAGGGACAACCACAAGGATAAAACATAATGAAAGAAGTTTTCTAGGGTGGGGTGGACAGACCGACATCAATTAAGGTTTAGGGTTTAAGGCTTTAGAGCTTAGGGGTCCCTAAACTCATAGCCCCCCATTGCCATGATGCTTCAAGTTGCCTTCTCCTTCAGTTTAGGGTGCTGCTTCAATGTTGCTATTTGGGCTTGATGATGTGCGGGATGCTGCAAATTCGTCCTGACTAGATAATGGATTACTCAGGTGCCTGCGAGTTGCAGAAACCAATGCTGCCATCGAAAACCCTAATCTCGGCACTCAGCCATATGCGAATGTGAGGAATCTCTGCATCGAACGTCTCATATAGACCAGGGTCTTTTTTTCACTCTCGCTTCCTTTTCTGCGAGTGCCTCTTTGCATTCAAGACCCACTTGTACACCATGAAGAAGGCTTGAGCCTGACTTCTCGATTTAGCCGGTTGCATCGCTATGGTAGTGAAATTTCGTTCACTTGATCTGGAGGCAATGACGGATTGTACGATGCCGAAGTGCTGGCCCTGAGTTGCGAAAACTGGTTGGGAATTCGAAAGAATGGCACATCAGTCAACCCATCAACAAAATGGCCGGCATTCATGAGTGCTTTCCCAAAGAAAAAAGGAATCCTTGAGATGGAGCCAGGTTGCTTGTGTTCAAAAAGCTGGCCTGTCGGGAGCTTGGCTTGGAAATGCGGCAGCGTCTTGGTGCGATGCTGCACGTGAACGACTTGGATGTCGGGTGGCATGGGAAATTTATCCTTCAGGAACTGGGGAATCGCCACGGCATTCGAGATGCTCTTCCTGCTCTCCCTTTCTTGCTCTGCATCCATGCCCGGCAGCTCCGATGCGGGCGGCGGCTTCTCCACCTGCTTGCAGCTGAAATCCAAATCTAGGGGGGACATACGAAAACACACAGCTTCCTTCTCTGGCAGAGTAACATCGAGAACATGCGACAATCAATGCCAAGTGTCAACCCGACAACACAATCTGTCTGATTAGTAAATGTTGACACCCACCGCGCTTTGACAGAAAAGCAGGCAATTCGGAGCCTCTGGGTACAACAGAATTCTGTGCGGGGCTGAATACAAGTGTATGGTAGGGAAAGGCCTCGCCGCCACTGCCAGCGGCCTGCTCCATCTCTTGCACGACAGCAGCTGCAGCCATCATCACCTCGTCGTTCTCATCTGGGAAAACCTCCTTTGGGCAGCTGCTTAATTTATAAGTGGCCCTACGTTGCACTTAACCTCCTCCAAATCAATTCCCGTCCTCTTCTGGCTCGCATGGATCCCTGTCCCCCTCATCTTCATCCTCCGGCTTCTTCTTTCGCCTCTTGTCATCAAGATCCTTCAAAATGGCCAGCAGCTCGACGATTCGCTCCTGAGCAACGGCCTCCTTGATCGACGGCTGCTCCAGGAGTGCCTTGATCTTGGCACTCTTCGTTGCATTCTTTCGGCAGCTGACATCCTGGATCTTCAGCATCTTCGACAAAGACTCGCTGGTGACCTTCACAATCTCGCCCGTCAGGATCAAGTCCAGCAAAAGACTTCGCCCTGCCACACTTCGCCTCAGCAGGCAGCAGCTGCCAAGCTTCGTGGCCAGAGAGCCTTCCACCCAATGCATGGTGTACGGGAACACTTGAACCTGCAGTCCGTTCTGATCATTTCCAATCCTCTATCTACAGGCCTAAACTGGAAAGCACAAAAAAACCGTGCCCAGCAATCCTTCTGGAAGTCAAGCAAGGTCTCCATGATGATGGGCCTTGCTGATTGTTTTCGGCAAATCGGATGTGGAGGCCGGTTTGTCTGAAGGAATGAACAGGTACCACTTGCAGTTAGGCGGCTTCTTGCTGCCACAGACGACGAGTGCCTTGACCGTCTCACCGTCACTCAGGGGATCCTGGGCCTTGAGGCGACGACTCTCACGAGTGACCGCAGTTTCATCCACCGTCTCGGCCGGCAACGGCCCCTGGAAAAACATGTGAAGCTCGTCCAGCGACAGAGCCTCATTCAATTGCAGATTTCCAACGGGAGGAGGGAGAGCAGCAGCTCGCAGAATTCAACTTAAGCTTACTACTCAAGCTGAGGGTCATAGAGCAAGCCAGCCGCTTTGCCCAGTGCCAGGAGCCATTTGCCATCATGAAGCAAAAGGCGTCCTCGAGCCACCAGGCTCGGCACCCACATCATGGACTCCACATCTTCCATGCAGACACCAGTCCTTACTCAGGAACCGACACCTCAACCACCCTGCTGAATTGTGGTTTAACAATCACCACCGTCTATGCCCAGCATCTTCTTGCCGAGCAGAAAGGCTTTCATCAGGTTCATGTTCACTCTGGTGTGGGCGTGGGCAGAGGTGCTTCCGAAATTTTTCAAGATGTCATCCACACGGAAATGAGGGCCTTGGTAGCAACATGTTCGCTAGGGTGCATACTTTTCAGAAATTGAGGGACCACGACACGTCACATGACTTTCTGAATCCCACCGAGGACTGATAAACTTATCTGCTGTCTGCGAACTTCGAACTTCTGTTGAATTAACCAACCTATGTCTGCTGCATCAGTTTATTTTCATATTTGGTTGTTTGGGTTGCGTGCACTTCTTCTCTTTCCATCTGTCCGTCTGCAGTGTGCTCTTCCTCAGTGTAGTTACATGTCGTTGTCGGCCTCTCCCTGTCTCGCTCTCTGTCGCATTATCTACATATATATATATCTCTCTCTCTCTCTCTCTCTGTCTCTCTGTATCTCTGTCTCTGTCTGCCTCTGTCTGTCTCTGCCTCTCAGTCAGTCTCTTTCCCTCTTTCTCTCCCTGTCTCTCTCGCTCCTTGCGGCTTTTCCCTGCATGGCTTTACCTCACTTTTTTTCGCTGTTTCCGTAGCAGCATCTTCTTCCACAACATTTCTCTGCAATTCTCTCACACAGGGATTTTGAAAAGGCCGAAGTGCTGCTGGTGTAGGTGTCTGCTTTCCAGACCTTGGCCTTTATGGCCCTGACCTCGTTCCCCTCGAAGTCTTCCGGAGACAGGGCGATTGCCTGTGCACCCTTCTCTCCTCGGCAGACCTTGTTTGCAACGGCACGAATGCCAAGGCACTGCACATTCGCCAGACTGGCGGAGTTGGCCTTGGTGGCTCGCTTCATGCTGTCCTCCATGTGGTTGAAGCATTGCTCCACGTTGCAGGAACTGCTGAGGCCCGGGTACCAGGCCCTCAGGAGGGCCTCTGTGCTGGGGCTGAGTACCCAGCCCTCCTTCTCAAACGAGCTCATGACCTCCCTGTAGTACACGAACTGTGTGTGTGGGCAGGACGACTGCATGAGGCGATGAAGCTTCATGCTGTTCTCAGCCTCTATGACCAAGCTCCATTCCAGTTTCATGGCCTGCAAGATACTGTTTTGAGTATCCTGCTCTGCAGAGCCTCCGTCACACTCTACCAGCAATGCAGCTGCTTGGTGCGGCGAGCTTTGCAGGTAGACTTTGTACTGCCGGAGTTCGGTCAAAGCAGCCAGCCCTGCCTGAACATGATCAAGCAAAAGGTCCTCAAGCTCGGGCGATCGTCTCTTTGTGACTTGCAGCACCTAGGATAGCATGGCTGAGAAAGCAAGCAACGGCAGTCACGGAAACCCGGAAAGGAAATACAGGTATGAGGCCATTTGCAATGGGAAGGGGATAGGAGCTCTGTGGCGTTTCTGGGTCGGGGTTTCAGTACTGAATCTGAAGAGAACAACAATTGCTCATAACCACTTGTAACTGTGTTGTGGCAGATAGGCAGCGTTTTCGAGCGATGCAGCTAGTCCACATCCAATGTCAGTGGAGATCTTCGAATCTCATATCAAGGTCTGCGGGTATTCCGCAGCAGAGACACAAAATAGTCGCGGGGAGGCCGCGATTGAGAGTTCAAGTTCGGATTTTAAAGTGGGGTTTAAGTTCAAGACAAGATATCTGTAGGGCCTGGCAGATCGACTGCAGACTGCAGCACCCCTCTGTGTAGAGGTGCGATAGCATGGAAATATGTGTCATCATTGGTTTTCTCAAACGATAAGCAAAAAGCCACGGTGCGTTTATGGCAGCATCTTCTGAGGAGCCACAACAACTCGTCTTGCCCTATGCGGTATTCTGAACGGTGTCTTGCTGTTGTAGCATGGACTCCAAACTCTGGATTACACTAGCCTTGTTGCGTGGCCAGTGTTTGTAGACAAATGATTTCGCGTGGAGAACATCTGTTCCTTTCATGTGTACAAACTCCCGCGAGTCCACACACCGCTACCTCTACACAAAGCTGGTACACTGCACACACAAACACACACACACACAGAGACAGAGAGAGAGAGAGAGAGAGAGAGAGAGAGAGAGAGAGGCAGAGACACAGACAGAGACGGAGAGTGTGTGTGTGTGAGAGAGTGTGTGAGAGGGAGAGAGAGACCGTCACAGACCCTGGTAGCCACACAGGCCACACATACAATTCCCTCCGAGCGGCCATAAGGCCGTCGCTGTTCTGGGCACGTCCAATGTCCGAAGAGATGCCGAGGTTCTCCACAGCAACTTCCCCGAATGTGGCCCTCATGAGCCTCTCGTACTTCAGATCGTACTTCGGACCACAGACGAAGAGTGTCTGTCTCTGCAATGCATCCAGCTCGTTGGAGTGTCGTTGCTTAGCGAGCAGTCAGGCACTCCAGACAAAACCACACACCATGCAAGTCAATTAGCTGCAGCACAGCTGCGAGCCACAGACAGGTGTCTGTGAACGGTTCCGACAGGGAGGACAGACTCTTGAAGAGGGCGGCGGCGGATTCGTCCAGCAATGCCTCAGTGCTTCTGAGTGGCAAAGGCAAGCACAACAGAAATGGGCCCTTGTGCCTTCAGGCATAGATCCACGATTCTGTCGTACGTGCCCGTGGCCGTCTTCGTGCTCTCGGCTGCAGCCATTGCATACGGGTTCTTCCCTTCCTGGTAGGTTTGGGGTTATAAACACAAGGCTGTCACAACACAAGTGTTTGCACCGACATGGAGCTTCTCAGCTGAGCTCCCTGCTTCAATGCATGCCCACATGATGACAAGCAACTGAGCAGAGTAGTAGCCCCGGAAGTTCTGACTGCAGAAACCCCACGAGCACCACCTCCCTTGCTCGAAGATGGAGCCCGTCCTCCTTGCAAGTGCACCACACCAAATATCTAGGGGCATGAAAAGGGCAAAGCCAGAGCCAGGCCTCATCAACTTGTCAAGAACTTGCACGACACGGGAAAAGTTGAGGGAAGCATCTTCTGTCACGGGCCAGCCTTGCCTGGCATGAAATGCGAACCCTTCAAATGCATAGTTTGAGGCCTCCCTGTGCAGCCGAGTCACTCTTTCAGAATGTGTTCACTGAACATCTGCATCAGCACATCATCCTTGTGGGCCTTGGTTGCCAATCTCATGCCAACGAAAACTGGAAACAGACACCAACCTTTTAAACAACTTGCAAGATTGAACTCTAGTCATGGCACAATCTGCAAATACCGCTTGCATGCGGCCATCCAGGTGTTGCCCACAGCGTGAGTTTGCCAAGGAGATTTTTTGGCTTTCATCAGCCAAGACGTCAGCATCTGACAGCCTGGCCGCAGAAGCACAAAGACATCTTGCGAGTTCAAGAAGCATGCTATTTGCTGCTAGGTCTCGCTTTACACCAGGCGTTGCTTTCAGAAAGCGAAGGAAATGCGTCTGCAACTTGTGCCTGCGCGTTCAGGCTTTTCGTTTAGACTCACAGCAGCGACAGAGCTGTGCGGCTGATGTCCATCTACTTGCATACGAAGCTGCGTTTCATCCCTGCAGAAGCCGACGGGGAGGCCCAGCGAAGATAAGAATTGCCAAGCACAAAACAATGGCCCTCCCTCGTCCGGATGCAGCGTCACCCGGACACCGGTCTTTGTCTTACCATCAAAGTCAGGCGTGCAGACCCACTCAGCCAAGCCGCTTTCGTAGTTGAAAATGAAGGCCCGGCTGCCATACATCTCACGACTCTCATGCTTTTCGGGGTCTGCAGCCCGGAGGGAGAAAGGAAGGGGAGCCAGCTCGAGGTTCAGAAGTTCCAAGCTGTGCAGCAAAGCTCGCATGTGCTCTCTGCTTGCCAGCCGGTCCTGCTTCAATCGGCCAACAGTACGAGGCCTTGGTTTCTGAAATGGATTGAAGCATGCAATACAGAGCGAGAGAGAGAGAGAGAGGGAGAGGAGAAGCTAACCAAAGCAGGGCACATCTTGGAGGCGGCCGAAGCATCCTGCTGGAGCATTTTGTCGGCCAGGGACTGCAGTTCCTGCTGCTTCACTTCGGCCGATGCTGTCACGGGCAGCAGATCTCCAAGTCGTTGAACTGTCCAAGCGATGGCATGTGGTCCAATCCCAATGATAGGTTGCCAGACCTCAACTTTTCTCAATTTCTCTTGAGACACCCTGAGTTCCAGTGCTCTATGTCAAGAAATGCTGGCCGAGATGAGTCCAGCAGCATCCATCCGACCCTTGGGTGAGGCGTCGCACAAGAAGGCCATCCCCTTCACCGGCAGCTTCTCCATCTCCTGTTGCAGACAGAGACAGAGAGGGCTTTGGGCTCTTGGAATCTGCCAAGCTTCTGTAAAGCCTCAAGCAAGCTGATGCTTTCGAAGAAGCCTCGTGCAAGACAGTGGCCGCCTTGCGGAAATACCTGTAGCTGAAGTCGCTTGAGAGCCTGCCCGAGGAATGAGACGGACATGTGCAGACACAAGGCTTGGCATTTTGTCAGATGCACCATCGTGACGGCCTGTGCTTGTGGCTCGGCACAAACTCCGAGAGACCCAGGTCGTTCAGCTGGTCGTCGCATGTTTCCGAAGTGGCGAAGCCTGCTTTTCTGCCCAAGAAGCGATCAAGCTGCAGGACGTGCTTTGGTTTGATCTCCTTCTTCAAGAAGCGACCATCCCTCGGCTCCCCTAAAGCGACTCTGCAGCCGAGGGAAGCACCTGGAAGAACTGAGCCGAGCTGCGTTTTGCAAGGGTGGAACTCGTCCTTGCTGGTGGGGACTGGCAAGTCATTCAGGAGGCGGTCTTCCAGGTGACTCTCGGCCCCTTGAGCGAGCAGATGCAGGGCCCGCTTCTGCAGCCGCCCTGTAGAAACTCGGCCCTCGGTGCTTCGATACAAAACCGCTTACATGCCTCTCCTCGTAAACCAAGACCCGAGCATCACAGATCATTTCCTTGAAGTTCGCTCGCATGATGAAGCAAAAGGCTAAGGAGAGCCGTACACCTCACCCGATCAGATCCCTGACGTTGGACAAACATTCACCGAAGTCTCTGCCTGCATTGAATTGCTGCTGGGCAGAAGAGGCAAGCTTGAACTTCTGCCACCTGCACACGGTGAGAGCACAGATCTGCAATAAACTGCGTACAACAGGGGTAATGGCCTCGGCACCCACTCAACAAACTGGAGAAACGTCTCCCAGGAAGCAAGATCCACATCGTGTCCCACACACTTCAAAGTACCTTAGCTTCGTTCCTGGTCTGGGCTTGGCTGGAATAGTGTTGCAAAACTTCATTAATTCGGGCCCAGCAGCAAGCATTGATCCTTGGGAGCAGGGCCAGCTCCATGTCGGGTGGGCAGGCGTTCCCCAGCAGAGTTTCCAAGGACTGCACGACAGCCTTTTGGAACTTCTCGGAGCAGGAGCGAATCTGCAGCACACAGACTGCCTCAGACTGTTTGAAGTTTAGAATGGAGATGCGACGAAGGGACGTCACACCTAGTTGCGAAGCTTGTATCGGCCTACAAGAATTAGAAAGCCAGCAGAAGCAATCCTTGCAGCTCCAGTCGCTGCAAACAGAGCCCCTGGAAGGGTGAAAGCATCGCAGGGCAGTCTGATCTCTTGCAATCCCACAGCCACCTGCTTGCCCTTGTACCCGAGCTTTCGGATGATGTGCAAATCCAAGTTCACTTTCCATGCATCAGCAAGCTCACAGGTCAGGTTGTCCCTCCTTGCATGTTCACATCACCATTCAATTGACACCCGCAAGGTCACAAGGCTGCTTGCTCATTGTTAGTGGAGCTAGGTGGCAGCTTTGTAAACCAGTTCGTGAAGCTTTGCTTCCTCTCAAACATCTTCCAAAGGGTGCTTGCCCGGAAAAACAGCTTGAAGCCATCGGAGCTCACATCTCCCTGCACCTGGCTGCAGATTATTGTACTGTATGTGGCAGGCTCCGCAAGAGACTCAGCAAGGACACATGACAGCAGCAGCAGCAGTACGGCCTGCAGCACATCAAACACACCAGTGTGCCCAACGGCGCTTTGCATGAAAAGAGACTTCGTTGGAGTGTAGTCGGCACGGGCCACATTAGCGGCTACCGGCTGCTCCTCGTCTGGATCTGGAAGCACTTCCACGATCGCCAGCTGCTCGTCTGAAGGCATCGCCGCCTTCGCCGTCTCAGGCAGTCGAGGCCTCAAGGGTAATCCTGCTCTAGCAGCCGCTTGGCGGCAGCTGTCCAAGATTTCCTGCCAGGAGGACAAACTGTTCTCACGACAGGCACGAATTTCCAGAACGACCTCAGCGGCCTCCCACTCTGGCATGGAAAGCCGTTGATCATGCACGATCGGCAGATTCCTGCTGATCTTGTCATCCACGAAGGCCAATTTCTTGAGAAATAAGCCTTTGTGTTCCATCTTCTCGGCCTCCGTGTTGAGCCTTGGAAACTCTCTGTAGACTGGCAGGCAGGCAATGAAATCTCGCAATCGAAGCAGCACGTTCAAATGAAGCAGCACGTTAATTTGCACCCAGCAGCTGCTCATGCTCCTGCAGCTTGTTCCGGAGCCAGTTTTTCATGCTCGCCTGCACATCATGATGCTGCTTGGGTTTCTGCACGACACAGTGCTGCTTGACTCGCTTGAGTTCTGCATGAGGGCCGCGGCACCGGGCACGTGCGTGCACGTACCCGGTGCAGTAGTGCTGATGCAGAACGTTCAATCGCAACGAAGCAGCACGATTTAGCGAACAGCGTTGCAAAGCCACCGGGTGGTTTAGGCGTTTAGTCGCTTGAAGGTTCTGCATGAGCGTTGCGGTGCCGGGCACGTGCGTGCACGTTTCCGGTGCGGTAGGGCTGATGCAGAACGTACAACCGCAGTTTGCCGGGTCGTTTGCTGAAGCAGCAGTCAAAATCGAAGCAGCACGTTACCCCGTTACCCCGCCCCCAATCCGCTTCCTCTGTCCAAGCAGAACGTTCAAAAGCCAAAACCCCTTGAACCAGGTCCCAATACTACGTTGTACTAAAAGATCACGAACCCAAGCAGAACGTTGATTCGCCCAAACACCGAGAACGAGGCCCCAGTACTACTTTGTACTACAGAGACGGCAACCCGAATCCAAGGGCTGTCCAGGCCTTGGGCCCACCCGATTCCAAGGCCTGTCCAGCCTTGGGCCCACACCCCAGTACTACTTCGTACCCCATTCCCGCACAGTCACCCCAGTACTGTTTTGTACTACAAAGACGGCAACCCGATTCCAAGGCCTGTCCAGGCCTTGGCCCCAGGCCCTGCAGTACTACTTCGTACTACAGAGACGGCAATCCGATTCCCGCCCAGTCCAGGCCCAGCAACACCTGTACTGGTTACAAGACTGGCAGCAGCCTTGTCTGACATCTTCTGCTGGCCAGCAGCCATAATCTGCTGCTTCTACATCGCACAGGTTCGCAATGTCCGAAGCGGTCTATTGTGGGTTCACCTGCTTTCAGTAGCTAAGCCTTGCAAGCTGACCTGGCCTCTCGGTTGAGGGTTTAGGGTTTAGGGGTTTAGGGTTTAGGGGCTGGATGACCCTGAGGACTCTGGACGGCTAATCCGCCTGTCTGTACACTGCGAATGCACATCCTTAAAGCCTGCGACATCGGATGTGGGCGAGCAGCTTTCCATTGAATAACAGCACAACAATGCTTCAACAACTCACGACGAAAACCAAGTTCAGCGATCCCTTTGCCCGCGATTTGCAGCTCTGAACGAAGCACTGTCCTGGCCCGTAGTCCAGGAGCCCAGCTGACGTCCTGAAACAATTCACAAAAGCATTTCAACACAAAACACGACTCATGCTGCAGAGGAGTCCTTATTCACTCATCCTGACCGTCACCATTTTCCTCCATGGCGAGCAGCTGCTTGTCATGCTCCTGTCACAAAGGTGATTCGGGTTTACAGCACCAAAAAGCGGCTTTGGTCGCACCACCGTCCTGCAACATCGTCGGCCATTTTGTCAAAACTTTGCGAGCCTTCAAGGTCAGGTTCTGGGCACACTCCCTGGCCTTGGAGCCCAAGCTCTGGATGAGCTCTCCTCTGCAAGCACATGGGCTCAGCAAGTCTGTTTGGTTTGGGTGGGTCAACATGATCTGCCCAGAAACAAGCACACAAACCATAGCCTCCAGGAACATCTGAAAACAACTCCACGGCTTCGTGGAGGGTGGTGATGTCTTCGCAGAGCAGGAGGCTCATGCAATGATCGGAATCGGTCCTGAAAGCGTGGTCGATAGAAGCTGGCTGAAGGAGCAAGCACACCGGAATCACAACTGCAGCCAAGCAGCGAGTTCATGCCGGGCAGCAGGAGCTCCAAGAGACCGGGCTCGAACTTGGACTTGAGATCCTCGGGCTTGGATGTCTCAGCCCGGTCCTTGATGCCACCATTGCCGGAGAAGGCCTCCTGTTCGGGGTCCTTCTCCTTGCTGTGATCTGGCTCCTCGTTGTCAGAGGATTCGTGCGGGCACTCCCTGGCGAGAGCCCGCTTCCTCTTCCCAGACTGCTTCGGCTTTCGAGCGGAGGCCTTCTTGGCAGGGCTCTGCTTGAACCTACCAGTGAACAGATCACCATCCTCGCCGTCGGCTTCGGAGAGGCCAGCGAACTTATCATCATCATCATCGTCGTCGTCCTCTTCCCCAGCTCCCCGATCGGAGCCAGTCACGGCAGGATCTGCAAAAAGCCGTCGGGGCTTCAAGGTTGAGGCGGCTTCGGCACGGGGTGATCTCTTAGCCCTCCTCCTCTTGGACCGTACAGGGGTTCCGGGGCTGAGAAGGGGCTCAGGTTTCTCCTCCTGTTTGGAGCTGCCGCTCCTGCCAGCAGCCAACTGCTTGAGGTCATTCTCGGCCTCCTGCATAGTAAGAGTAGGAGTAATAGAAGTAATAGTAATAGAAGTAGAACAAGGAGAAGCAGTAGTAGTAGTAGTAGCAGCAGTCGTCGTAGTAGTAGTACAAGTTACTACTACTACTGGTGCAGTAGCAGTAGCAGTATTAGTAGTAATTGTAGCATCAGTAGTAAGTAGTAATGAAAAAAAACTAAAAATATTAATCATAATAATTCTAGCAAGGAGCAGCAGTAGCAGTAGCAGCAGTAAGTGTAGTAGTAGTAGTAGTAGTAGTAGTCATAGTAGTAATAATTGGAATATTAATACGGCCTTCATGAGTAGTCGCAGTAGTGGCAGTAGTAGTAGTAGTAGTAGTAGTAGTAGTAGCAGTAGTAGCAGTAGTAGTAGTAGTAGTAGTTGTTGTTGTTGTCGTCGTCGTCGTCGTAATATCAGCAGCAGTAGTAGTATAGTAGTAGCAGCAGTAGTACTCGTAGTAGTCGTAGTACTAGTACTAGTGGCCCGGGGAGGCGGTCCACAAACTTGGCAACCCAACATCACGAGCATCGGCTGTGTCAGGGTGGGCGTGAGTTTGTGGGGCCCGGTCCGGGCCCCCAAACGTGGACACCAGAACCCAACATCGGCGTGAGTTTGTGGGTCCCGGACCAGGCCGGGTCCGGGACCCACAAATTGGCCACCAGGAGCCAGCATCAGGAGCATCAGCTGTGTCAGCATGGGCGTGAGTTTGTAGGGCCCGGTCCGGGCCCCACAAACTTGGCCACCAGAACCCAACATCAGGAGCATCAGCTCGGCGTGAGTTTGTGGGTCCCGGACCGGGCCCGGTCCGGGACCCACAAACTTGGCCACCAGAAGCCAGCATCAGGAGCATCAGCTGTGTCAGGGTGGGCGTGAGTTTGTGGGGCCCGGTCCGGGCCCCACAAACTTGGCCACCAGAACCCAACATCAGGAGCAGCAGCTCGGCGTGAGTTTGTGGGTCCCGGACCGGGCCCGGTCCGGGACCCACAAACTTGGCCGGCGAGCAGCGTGAGCATCAGCTTTGTCAAAGCAGGCGTGGTTTTACCCGGGCTGAGTCCCACAAAACTTGCCACGGTAGTACTAGTAGTCGTGGTAGTGGTGGTATTAGTAGTAGTAGTAGTAGTAGTAGTAGTTGTTGTTGTTGTTGTCGTGGTGGTAGTAGTAGTAGCAGAAGCAGCAGCAGCAGCAGCAGTAGTAGTAGCAGTAGTTGTAGTAGTAGGAGTAGTAGTACTCGTAATAGTAGTACACGAAGAAGAAGAAGACGTAGTAGTACTGGTGTAGTAGTAGTAGTAGTAGTAGTAGTAGTAGTCGTAGCAGTAGCAGTAGCAGTAGCAGTAGCAGTAGCAGTAGCAGTAGCATTAGCAGTAGTAGTACTAGTAGTAGTAGTAGTAGTAGTAGTAGTAGTAGTAGTAATCGTCGTCGTCGTAGTAGTAGTAGTAGTAGCAGCAGCAGCACCACCACCACCACCAGCACCAGCACCGGCACTAATAGTACTACGACGATGACTACTACTACGACTGCTACGATAAAAACTTCGACTGCGAGCGTATTTTTGAACTAGTAAGCCTTTTACACCTAGTCTTGTAAGTAGCACTCTGTGGCCTGAGCACCGCAGAATCACTGCAAATGCTTCGTTTATAACTAATTTTAACCAGAACAAGACGAATGACTACTCTTTATTCGCGATTAGGGTTTAGGATTTAATTTAGGGTAACCCTAAATAAAGCATCAGCTAAACCCCAAATTCTAAACCCTAAACCCATACTAATTATTAGTATTAGTCGTGCGAAGAGGCATGTCCGTGATTCAAACAGACACCGTCACGTCTCCTCTAGGTTGGACCTAAGCCCTAATAAAGCGGCCTAAACACCAAACCATAGCTTAGCCGGAGGGTCAGTGGATCGAGCAAGCAGACTGACAAGCCCAAACTCCAAACCCCAAGCCCCAAACCCTAAACTTTAAACCTTAAACCCCAAGCCCCAAACCCTGGATGTTAAAGAAACCCTAACTCCTACAGCCTAAGCAGAGTCGAGAGTTCTCTAGGCTCTAGTCAGGAGCAAGTCTTTCAAAGCGGCTGCAGTCAATGGACATCCAGAGAAAACCCAGTGACACCAGGAGCATTCGTACCCTCTGCACATCTCGGTCCTCACAGAGCCTGCTCAAAAGCTCGTCGTACCGGCGGCTCATGGCCTCCTTGCTGATGCCCTCCTTCCTGCGTCCAGAGAAGAGAGCAACAAATGACAATGCACAACATTGAGGCAATCTTGCAAGCAAGTCTGCTACCCGGTTCCTTAGCACACAAACTCACAAACTGGTTCCTGCAGTGTCTCTTCACGAGGGACTTGTACAACGTGTTGATGTCATCCAGCGTCTTGCAAGACGAGATGTTGATCTGGGCTTGGCTCTTCGCGGTGACTCGGTTCAATTCAGCGGAAGCACCAATGAACGATCTGCAATGCAACATGGGGAAGCTAGCCCAAAAAACATGGTGCGGTAACCGAGGCACACAGCACCAGCACCTGATTCAATCTCTTTCTCCAGAGGGTCTGAGCGGCCTTGACCTGCAAGCGTGGGGCAGAAGTGATGACATAAAGAAACTCAGGGCTGGGGAGGTGTGGGGGTTCAACATTGCCGACAAGAAGGTGCCAGGACAGATTGCGAAGATCCCCTCCCGGCTTGGTTCAGGGAAGTGCAGTCGGAACTGTCATGTGCGGCCTTGCGAAGAGAGGAGTTCTCTGCGTCCTTGTCCTTCTGTCTCTTGCACCTCTTCAGTCCGTCGCAAAGCAATGACTCCTTAGAATCATCGCCGCACGAGAGACAGCAGGAGTGATCACCTGTTTGTGGCAGCCAGTCTTGACTGCATGCTGCATCCTTTGCGAACAAGGCACAGTCTCGCCACCAATCTGCACGAGGTCCGATGCCACGACACACTTCGCGATCCCACACAAAGTGTATGCCAGCTGCTGGCAGCTCAAATCCTCCACCTTAGTTTGGTCCAACGACCTCTGCAGCTCCTTGTTCAGGAGCCGGAAGAGGCCCTGCTTCTCCTCCTGCCCGTCCCGGCTCTCTGTGCTGGACTCCTCGTCGGAGTCGGAAGACTGGCCTGCTAGAGAACGGATGCGTGCCAGTCGCACATGGCAGAAGTTCGGTCCTTTCTTGTTCTTCTTGTCTTTCTTCTTGATCTTCTTGTCGCTCTCAAGATTCGTTCCTGCAGCGAGGCGAAAGGGATCATGCAATGTAAACTTGACCAAAACCCACCGTTTGAAAACTGGCAGAGGGCCGGCCTGACAGTGCCTTCTCCATAGCGGCCTGGCCAATGCCCTTCAAGAAATGCGTGGCGGAAGCGGGCGGGCTCGTCGTCTCGGTGGCATCCGAACCCAAGGATCTGGTGGAGTTTGTCCTGACCAATGACGGTCGTCAAAGCCTAGACCCTAAGTATTGCTACGATTCGAGGAATGACGATTCGAAAGCCTTCGTGGTATTGAGTTGCCTCCCCAACACCAGTCATATCATGGAGCAAACAGTTGCAGGTTTCATCTTACAGTCTACACAAAGACGTTCTGCTCCAGCCCTACCGTAGCCAAACTTCGCTGGCTGTCCTTCTCGCCTTTGTCCCCGCCACCATGACGAGAGCCCGAAACTCTCTGTCTGATTCTGATCTGGAACCAAGGAGCTGCTGTGTTTTGGCAGCCCCACACACACACAAAGAGTGCAAGCAGTGCGAGCAGGTCTCAGGCATGCAAAAGTGATGTTTTGAACGTTATCCGTCCATATCCAAGAGGCTGCTGAGTTCAGCCATGATGCAGAAATTTCAGAAAGGCCGAAAAGCCTCGTTCTGGATGAATTACCAATTCTGTTGCCCCAACCGAATTTAGCCACGATGGCACACCAAGGCAGCAGTACACAATGGTCCCACGGAGCCGTGCCTCAGTAGCACAACCCAAAAAACGATTCGTCTGGGAAATATCAACAAAGAAACAATCGATTGCCATCACAGTGCGAGCAAGATCTTCTGGCGGAGGAGCAGACTATATGTGAACCTGAGATACACAAATACTTGCTGGTAACCTCAAAGAAAGAGGTTGCTAAGCCAATATTGCGATGAACAGCTGTCAGCGGGCCACAGGAACTGCACAAGCAAGTTAGTAGCACGGAGCAACTCCTTCCTCACATCATGAGAAACAGAGCCGGGAAAATAATTGTAATGTATGCGAACACGGCACCGGCACGTCTAGTGCCCAAGCACCTCCCAAATCTCGCCATCCTCAATGACCACAGCCGGCAAGGGGCGTGGGTCGTTGCCGGCTGGGCCGACAGGATACCGAATCCTGCGAGCCTTGTGACACAGAAAGCAAGCACAAGCACATCAGAATGCAGGTTGGGTTACTTCCATTGCAACACGGCCAACTCATCACCAATGACACGGCTATAAGGCTTCAGAATTGAGACAGGCAGCAGGTATCTCAGGAACCATAAGCCTCCGTTTGCTGGCCGGCGGCACGAGATCCAAAACAGCTTCGTCGTCTCCAAGCCGTTGATCGAGGTCCTGCAGTCAGCAGGCAAAAATTACATACGAACATGCGGGAGCCCACCAGCACCATTTCTGAAGTTGATACTTGCAAAAAGCATCTTTTTATCTAGTCGGCCTCGTGCACTAAAGTCGTCAAGACAGTATCCAAGCGAACGTGCAGGGAGGCCGCCAACAGATAAGGAGAAAGTGATCGTCGAAGAGACAACAACAAAGCCACCTCAGTGTGAATCTGTGAATGACACAAAATGAATTGGAAGTGCTGCCGAATACCCACATCTCCCAAAGGCCAATACTGTCGAGAAACGGCACGACCAAATGTGCCTGGATAGGCCTGCGAAGCCTGCATTGATCCACGTTTGCCTGTGAAGCCGCCACTCTCCTTGCGATCGCAGAGCCTCGACGTGGCTCGTGATAGAAACCTCAGACAGAAGCTTCTGGATTGATGCCGTGCATGAGACATGAATTCCCCACGAAGCATTCGCAAATGCAATCAAGAATCGCACGAGAAAGCTCGGGGTGACACCCCAAATACCGGAGACAGGTCAAAACGAACGGATCCGACCCTATCAGTTGCGTGGGCTTCCTCGGCTGGTCTGAATGAAATAGGAAATCACAGCAACTGTGGGTGCAAATGCCTACCAATCAGATCAGGCTGGAGTCGGGCTGGCAGCTCCGAAAGCCCCCATCTTGAAAATGACACGAAGATGACCACATTGATGAAAGACGTCCTGCAGTTCTTCATGCATATATATGTATATACAAACAGATGCAAGCAGGTCCCGCATGGCCCTCAACTGGGGCATGTATGATGCCAAAGGCTGCTCGTAGATGCTGAAGATGCCGGCGTGGTAGCAGAAGAGCTGGCACTGACTATCAAACTCCTGGGCTTAATTGGGGTACCCACCGTTTGCTACAGACTGCCATAACGAAGCCTCTATCTTCCAATCAAGTTGCTGCAATTTCGTTGCCCTGAGCAACCGATGGCAGCGAATCATTCCCGAGAACATTGAGGTGCCTCTGCCTTGGCAGGGCCATTCGAAGACTTATGCACCAACCTGCTGCATCGCAAAGTCATTCATTCAGATAAGGTTCGTTTTCCCAACACAAATATTCACGAAGCTGCTGCATTTCGGTGCGGAAAACCGCACACCTCCAATCTTCACGGAAGCCAGAAGCCGCAAGCCTCGACAGCGGCTCCCAAGCTCCAAGCAGGTTCGCCATGAAACACATAACTTCTCAATCAAAAGCCAAAACACACAGAAGTTTTCCTTCGTGAGTCAGGACGTCGTGGGTCGGGTCCCGGGCGATATCATAGATAGCCACCACAAACCCTTCCTCAAATGCATTTGTGCAATACCAAGGTGATAACCCCATTCCAACTACGACAAAACACAAGCAACATTCACAGAGCTATTCAAATCTTGGCAAAGGAACCTCCTGCACAGCATGCGAAAGCCTTGCCCGGCCAGCATAGCACTCGAAGAAGTCCAAATCGCGGCCGGTACCTTCTGCCATATATTCGGCAGTAAAAACCTGGGGGGCAGCTTCCTCCAGGAGCTGGGAAAATGAGGGCGAAAACGCCTCTCGAGAAACCATGGCTCCGATAAGTTCACAATTATCAAAATTAGTCTTTCAGTGCCAGCTAGGACTGAGGACTCACCGATACTGTGTGAAAGTCCGAATATCCACGATGTAAGACCTGAAATCTGGAGCCATGGTGCTGCCTTCCATGGAGAACATGCGGATCCTGCAACCAAATCCCAAAGCCCAAGCAGAACGCTAAAGCGTACAAGCACGGTGCCCCAAGCAGAATGTCTACGGGGGCCTATGATAAACCCTAAACCCTGTCTCCCTCCCTCCGTCTTTCCCTTTGCGTCGGTCGCTGACCGGTGGTCTGGCTGCCTAGACAAAAGGAGGCCGGCCTGCACTACTGGCTGATTGACCCGGGTGCGCCGGAAACCCACCTAATATTAAAACCAAACCGCCAAAATCCAGTTTTAAGATTAGGGAGGGAGGGGGGGGAGCGGGGGGGACGGGGGGGGGGGGGGGGGGGGG